TTTTGAAATTTACAGCGATAGAAAGTTGAATAATTTTTTGATGTGTAGTACTAATTTTTATGGCAAAACATAACAAATAACTTGTGCTGTTTTTGTGTCAAAAAGTGTCAATATTAGCATTATTTTCACTGGAACGTGCTGTACGAAATGTGATTTGTTGTAATAGCCACCAACACAGCCGAAAGGCTAGACATAGTGGCAACGATAGCCCTATCCCTGGAATAAAAAGAAGACCTACTAATACACAGTCCCAGGGCTAACCGTTATCAAAACCATGATTTCAACGCTAGTGCGCAAGCGCGGGCTGATCGAGAGGGGCTCTCGATGACTTCGCGGTTCGGTGAACAAACACAAAAGCGACGTGCTATAGAATCTTGACTGGGGCAGAGTTGCCAATCCCCTCTACATACTGTCCCCTGGTTTGGCTCACCAGGGGTCTGAGGGGCGGGGCCCAATAGGGGAAACACCAATTTATTCTTTAAAATCCTTCTTCTTCTGTAGGAATGAAAGGGTTTGGTCAGAAGCATCCTTGTGAAAAGGGGAACAAAGTTTGTATAAATGGAGGGGCTGGGCCCAATAGGGGAAATATAGCGAATTCTTTAAAATCCTTCTTCTGTAGGAATGAAAGGATTTGTTCCATATTTGGTCTGAAGCATTCTTGGGTGAAGGGGAACCAATTTTGTGTAAACTGTGGGTCCGGCCCCCAGGGACCTGAGCGGCAGTGCTAAAAGGGGTCAATTGTGCTATATTGATTTAAGCAACTTCTCTGGAACTAAGAGATAGATATCAACCATATTTGACTGGAAGCATCCCTCGGTAGTGGAGATTCAAATTGTACAATTGGTTGGGCTGAGGGGAGGGTCCAAAAGGGGGCAATTTGGCTATATTGCTACTAACGACTTCTTCTGTAGAATTATGCCATAGATATTGATCATTTTTGGTCAGAGGCATTCATGGGAGGCAGGGATTCAAAATTGTACAAATGGTGGGGCTGACACCCCCACCCCATGCTAAGAGGTGGGGCCAGAAAAGGTTTATTACTTGGAAATGGTCGAGATCCCCACGGTATAACCATATATACAACTGTGGAGTATAAAGAGAAGCATGCACATTAGCTTACAGGATGGCCTAGGGTCTGGCCCCACCCTTTGAGACAGTCCCTGGGAACTATATATACAAATGCTTGGCATAAAGAGACAAAAGTAGTCGTGGTATTAGAATAGACCCTGGGGTCTGACCGAACCCCTAGGGACCTAGTTTCTTATTCATAGCTTGGAAACAGTTGAGATCCCCACCCTGTAGCCATATATATATGCAATTGCTGAGTATAAAGAGATGAATGCACATATGCTTCCAGGATGGACTCCGGGTCTGCCCCACCTTTGCAGACTTAACCCCTGGGTCATAACTTTAAAACGGTTGAGATCCCCACCCCAAGACTATAAATACAAATGCTGGTCAAAAGAGATGAATACAGTCATGATATTAGAATTGATCCTGGGGTCTGGCCACAACCCTAGGGATCTATTTTCTGAGTCACAGCTTGGAAACAGTTGAGATCCCCACCCCATAACCATACATTAGATTGCTGAGCATGAAAAATCTAATCCAGACACACTACAAGAATTGGCATTGGGGTCTGGCATAATCCCTTGGATCTCATTTGGAGAATATTTTGCTATGATTGCTTAGATATCCAGGTTTGCGATTCAGACCCTCTGGGCTCTTGTTTCCTGCATCTGTCATTGTAATATTGAAGGTACGCGGCTAGCTATTTGATTGGTCTCTGGGTCAAGTAACCTAACTAATCACTAGGCTGATACCTGTCTTTGGAAGATTACAGGTAAGCGACAACAGACTTAAAATCTAGTAAAGTTAACTGTTATGCTGAAGCGAGATTATTTTGATTTACATCAAATGATCAAACTAGTCTTCCTGCTCATCCACAAGGCGGTGGACACTGAACCCACCATATTATAGCGGCGCAGAGAGCGTAACCCCTAGAGTGTCCAGGTTGCTCAACAAGCCAACGCTCCACATTATGGGAAGAATATAAGAAATATTGGCGGGGGGGAGGGGGGCGGGGAACCCAAATGATTTCAAGTATTGGTCAGTACATAATGGAATATAGATACAAAATAAGAAGTCCCTTTTTTTGTATACCCTAGTAAGATTTTGCATAATGTTTTGACCTTGCAGAATTGTTATTTCCAAAGCGTATCTCGACAATTGAGACTAGATAGGTAGGCATGTACCGTTGTACATCACGAAAAGGCGCTGTGTTGCCTACCGAATAAAATAATGTCATTGTGACGTCAAATGCAGAAATTTCTCAGCCACTTTTTCTTGTTTCGGCACCGGACATCGTTTGTACATGTCAAAGTATTCAGTTGCACATCAAAGAAAGGTTATAGTGACATCTTCTGACGTTTGATCATAGACGCAGAAATATAGGTGTCAGGAGCATATCTCTGCTACTGTTTTGATGCAAGGTATTCGCACTTGGTATGTAGGTACATCGTGAGAAGATGCTGTGTTGAATACAAAATTAGAAACCCCGCGACCTGTTGGACCTTAATCCGAGTACCAAAATACAAGAATCTGTGTCATATCTCGCCAAAGTTTTCATGTCTTTTTGCCCCCAAAAGACGTTCACAAAATGAATTACAAAAGGGAAGATTTGTTAATTCCTTTCCTTTCAGAGCGAAAAGATGAATTGCCTATCCCGAAAAAAAACAGCTTTAATTACTGCCACATTCATGTAACGACTCTCGCAAATATATACTCTCTACCAGAAGTACAAATTACTAAGCCTTGTATTTGGAAGTTAGTTTGCAAAATGTAAGTGTGTATGACTCTTTTTATTTTATTTAAGTTGTATTTTTGACATGTATGGATTGTACATGTATAAAAAAAATCTTATTTTGAGATACAGGGGCCTGACTTAAGAAGTGAAGGTCTTTGACTACAAATTACTGACTCTCATCACTAGTGTTCAGATCACAATAAATATAATTAATACAGTGGTACATTTAGGACATGCACAATATTATTTTCTACCTTTGTTATCTCGAGAGCTCGACTTTTTATCTCGAGCGCTCGACTTATTATTTCGAGTACTCGACATATACGTTCCTGAGTATATCACCATACTATTATCATGGTTCGATTCATACGAAATTTCTCAGTCGAGTGCTCGATATAATATGTCGAGCACCCGAGAAAATGTGTCGAGCCGCCGATCTTGATATAGCATTTTGTATAGGAAGGAAACCACACAATACTTTTACCTGAATAGAGCTGTCAGCGATCGTCACTTGAATAATGTACATGTAGATATGATGCACGTAAAGTGGTGGACTGCCATGTATGGCTTGTATGGCTTGTATGGTACGGAGAGAATTTCAGATTTTTAAAAATTCCTTCCCTAACCAGATAACCACTCAAACATTGAAAAGTCGCCTTTTAAAATTAAAATATAAACGTGCCCTGAATTTATCGTATTTCATAAAGGGAAACCTAAATGTGTATACTCTCTATATAGCTATAATGTCTGTTTATATGAATATGACGTTGGAAGAATTACTGCAGAAATAAATATTTGCGCAAAAATTGAAAGATTAACAGTATGATCTCGGCAAACGTGATAGATTGGGGGTTTGTATGATGTCCGAAATGTCGTCTCTTCGAATTCAAGTTTCACAGGAACGTTCTTTTATGTTTAACTGAAGAAATATATGTTGCATGAAACACAAATTACACCCACTCACGAATAAGAACAGGGTGGTCTGTCTGCGAAGATAATTGTGCATGAACAATTGAGTAATCTACTGTATCTGAGTGACTGACTACAATGTACATGTCTATTTTTTAGTATACCACTGAGTTCAGAAATTGAATTAGTCGTTTCTGAACGCACGTTGAATTATAGATGAACATTTGTTACACGCGGGAGTTCAAATTAACTTTAGTTCAGCTGATACAAGTTACACACATACTGAACCAAGTGTATTAATTTGCACCTGCATTTCACCTCGACGAGGACATATTAATGATGCGCAACAGTTACAGTGTATAATCAATGTCCAGTCGTTATCTAATACATCAGTACCGTACACATTCTTTTGTAATGGGAGAACAAAAAGAGAGATACCACACAGTTTAGTTGTCGTCGGAGATCAGTTTTAATGATAAAATACAACACTTCTTCCCGGAAGAAATTATCTCTGAGCAAGAGAGAAATGTGGTATTGTTGAGCCTGATATGTGATACGTTATTTCAGGAACATCCGACACGTTCTACCACAATGTTGACATTTACGGATATAGCTAGAACGTACCACACCCGACCTGACAGCGTTTCACACCGCGTGCCCTGTGGTCACAGCGACCTGCATAAACTAAAAGTAGTATTGAAAATTATCGTATTTATACGGACCTGAACTTGACCAACTGGATATGCTTTAGTTTAACTTGTGACGAAGTCTGTGATATTTCTTTGTGAGGTACCTCTGACTACGACTACCAGGCTACCAATCTGTTTCGTGGAGATTATTACACATTTAAGATGTATTTAACCTTAAATAGGGCGTTACTCATAGGTTTCCTGTTACTGGGACTCCGATCTCGGATAAAAGGTAAGTCATTATTTTGCACAAGTTTGAATTCTTGTCGGTTTTATTTCTTTCGATTCAGCACTAAATATTGCAGGAATCATATAAACATACTGTTTTGACCTCCTAACGCTTAACTCAACTACAAGAAAGATTTCCCGTTTAAATCACATGAAATGCTACATAAAATTTATTTCATTACCAGGATGCAAAATTGTAAGTTTGAATTTGACACGTCTTTAGAAAAAGGTTTATTGAAAGAGGCCGGGTTAGCGTCGAATGAATGTCATTATTTCACTTGGAAGTAAAGCTTGGGTCCTATTCACGTTCGTGTTCTGTCTACCTGTGTCGCGGAATGGCGATGTATCCCGCTAATTACACAACATTTATTTGTCAATACATCTGAATATTTCATTTATATAATGGTGTACATTTCACGTCTGACTCATAACTATGACACGCGTTCAGGATTTACTTTAAAGATGACTAGCTGCCTATAGGGTATCTGTTTAACGTTTCCCCGGGTTAACAATACATGTGTGTACAACTCTGTCTACAATCATGTTTACATATATAGGTGATACTTAGGCTTAATATACTTGAAATGTATTTGTTTTAGCGGTACCAATATGTTGGAGCTCCTAGCGTCTGTTCGAAGGCGCTAAATCAAGTTAAGCGATAAATACAACATTACAGTATTCCTTTATTTAATATGTATATTGATGCTTGTAACATGGCAATTGACACGGGAATGAAGCTACATAATTATCTACATTATTGACGTTAATTGATGTTAGATGTTCACATTAAAGTTAATACCTGGACAGTTGAAACGTGTATGAATCAGTGAAAGTTCAGCTACATTTTTTTGCTATTTAATTACATAATGCATATCAATTTGAAACAGAATTTTCTAAAAAGTTTTCCGTTATTACAATGTACATTAGTTAATAGCTGATTTTTCAGTTTGCTATTGTATTTTACCTGGTTAATGTGAAGCCCGTTTAATTCAACCCATGAGTGGTGTATCGTCAATGTATTCCAACATGATATGTTGTTATCCCATCAGGACGCCGGGCTAGTGACCGAAGGGTTGCGGGTTCGAGTCACTGCACGTCACTGTGTTGTATCTTTGAGCAAGATAGTTTACTCCGTGTGTTCCAGTCTACTTAGCTGTAAATGAGTACGTGGTTGGGAAGTGCTAGAATTGTTGAATGCTAGCCGTTAGCGCCGAAATGGCAGCTCTGGCTGTATGCTCACCAGGGAGTTGAGAAAGGTATTGGCTGGTTGCAAAGGCGCTTTGAGACGACCTACGAACTAGGTTGTGATAAAGCGGTTTATAAGAACCTCGAAAATTATTATTATTTTTATTATGAAACCCTAGTAAAACCTGTAAGTTCTGACATCATGTCTAAACTGTTCGATATGGTATATCCTACAGGGTGTTGGATTGCATCGACATCGTAACAATAATTATGATGTACGGATTTATATCTTGTCGAAGTCAATTTAAGATGAAATACTTATATCATTGACTATTTATCAGTTATTTATTGACAACATCATATGTTTTAGACTTTCCCAGCCACTCCCAAAGAGATACCTTTTAGTGAAATACATGGCTTTATATCGGGGGGGGGGATATATATAAATGACTTATTTCCTGCTCTACAGGCTTTATCAGGACTTTGTGGATTAATGTGGGTTGTGGACCAACATGTAAAAGTATACCATTATTTAAGGACGTCGTAGATAGTTGGTGTCTGACAGAATGGATTTGACGAGAGACATTACAGGTACGGCGGGATCATCGTATAATACAGGAAACATTTACACCTGTAGACCACGTGATTTCACCGTTATATTTGTTTGCCTTTAATTATTGTTTTATTCATTGTCTTTGTGGAATTTTTATGCGGAATTTGATTTTCGTTGATAAGGGACTTGTATTTATTCTGATTTCCATTTTTGTCTTCAATTGATATTTTTTCTAAATTAATTAGTACAACACACAATTTGAAGCATGTTTTGTTGATTAAGTTGAACAAAAAATGTGAAAGTAAAATAGCATACATGATTGTTGATGATATGTGTGTATCACCTTGATGTGCATGTAAGCGTGTCAAAATTAAAACGTCGACAGAAAAATGTCCTCATCAGTCCAGCTTTCCACTCAGCTTAATTACATGGCGAAGGGTTTGTCTAACTATACTGAACAAAAAAAGAAACGCACAATTAAATTATACAATCAATTCCCTATGATATTTTGGAAATTTGTACAAAATTTTCTATCAATATGAAGGGACAAGTCTACTCTTTACAATACTGTAGAAGAAAAGTCTGTGTGACGTCACTCGTGTCATCAGTAGTTACTCAAAGTGGGATACCCGCGAAAAACAAAATGACACTTCAGTACCTGGTGTGGGCACCTTTTGCACGAATCCCTGTACGGATTCTCCTCTGCATTGAATTCATGAGAACATTTATTCGCCTTAAGGGAATGTTGTTCCATTCTTGGGTTAATGCTGCGATCAACTGGGCGCAGTTAGTTTGGGGGTATTGACGTTTCCTAATACGCCTGTCCAGCAAATCCCACAGATGCTCAATGGGAGACATGTCGGGGCTATATGGGGGCAATTCCAGAGGCTGAACGTTGTTTGCCGTGAGAAAATCACGACAGACTCTGGCAACATGCGGTCGAGCATTGTCTTGCTGGAAAATTAGGTTATGACGTCTGAGAAGTGGAAGGACATGTGGTTGGAGGATCTGGTCTCTGTATCGAACGGCATTGAGGTTTTGATCCAGGACCACTAAGGGGGATTTTACTCCATGGGAGATGCCTCCCCAAACCATTACAGAAGCCCCACCGAATCTATCGCGTTCAACCACGCATGCGTCGGCGAAACGCTCACCGCGTGTGCGATATACCCTTTTTCTTCCGTCTGAGCGATACAGACAGAATCTAGACTCGTCGGTGAACATCACACGCCTCCATCGACGCATCCCAAACCTATTCGGGCCATGTCTGCGCATCCAGTCAAGACGCACTTGCCGCCTCCGTGGTGTCAGAGGTGGACCAATGATTCTCTCGGTACGCAAGCGGTTCCTAGCAGTTTGAGGACTAATGGGTCTGCCATGAGTACCTAAGGTATGCGACGCAGTCTCTCTACATCAGTCTTGAATCTGTTACGCAAGTGCGACAATCGAATCGCCCTGTCTTGTCGTGCGGTCGTTACACGCGGACGACCGCTCCTGGGACGATCGGAAACTAACCCAGTAGCACGGAAACGTGTACAGAGACGGTTAATTGTACACGGGCCAACACCAATCTGCCGTGCAACAGCAGTTTGGCTATGACCATCCATCAACATCGCAATTGATCTACCCCTCTGAATTTGCGTTAAGCGTGGCATCTCAGTCAATGGCGAAATCAAAATGCCAACGTGGAAAATTAATGTGGCTGAACTTAGAGTATCCGTTATCTGTTTACATGTACACATCAACCAATTCTCAATAGTAGGCGAAAACATATGTCCAGATATTAATATGAAAGACCAAACACATTTAAATATCATAAATTATTCAAATATGTAACACATCATGAATTGACATCATTGGCTAAATTTATTACCAATATTAATGACATAACTAATTTACAATACTAATGGCCATCCTGTTCCACCATGTATTATTGCCACTCATTTGTATATATGTATTCTCTACACTGTATTGTTTATGAGAATAAAACAATTGTCATTGTGTTGAGATTATTTGTTTGAAAAACTCCGGCTTGGCTTGATCACGCCGCTTGATTTGGACTAAAGAAGCTCGCAAAGTCACACAATGACATCGTCACGATTGGCTGATTTTAGGGTAGATTGTTGAGAAGGGGGTAATACCTGACCAAATATTCCATTATTTCCTTACAGCTAAGGTGTACTGCAGGAACTGGGGGGGTAACTTTGTGCGTTTCTTTTTTTGTTCAGTATATGTCTACTTATTTTCTGTTCAGACACTTATATGATCGTTTCCGTTTCGAGTATCACAATACTGTTGTCTGTGGCATGTTGTAAACGGGTCATATTGTGAGGGTCTAGTCTATATCACTCTGAAGTTGCTGGTTGGTTGGTTGGTTGAATGATTGGTTTATCGCCTACATGATTCCACCCATGTGGGTCTCACATCGCACTAGTGGTGTTTGGTCATTATATAGTTAACATCGCTGGTGTTTATGATATCTTGTGAGCTACCCATGATGTGTTTATCTGGGATTAATGAAATTTAAAAATATGTTTCCAGTAACTTCACGTAACTTTAACCATTATTATCATGTTTTTCCTGTTCTTAAATATTAAAATATAAATATATAACAATCTTACAGTACGATTTATACATATAGTAATTTCATAGGATCTGTTACAAGTTTATATAATAATACTTTTTGATCATACTATAGAATGTGGTTAAATCTGTGGTGGATTAACTGTGACAAGTACACTTAATTGCATAATGTTCGTCTATCTGTGACGAGTACGCTTAATTACAAAATGTGTGTCTATCTGTGACGAGTACACTTAATTACATAATGTGTGTCTATCTGTGACGAGTACACTTATTTACATAATGTGTATCTATCTGTGACGAATATACTAAATTACATAATGTGTGTCTATCTGTAACGAGTACACGTAATTACATAATGTGTGTCTATCTGTAACGAGTATACTTAATTACATAATGTGTGTCTATCTGTGACGAATATACTAAATTACATAATGTGTGTCTATCTGTAACGAGTATACTTAATTACATAATGTGTATCTATCTGTGACGAATACACTAAATTACATAATGTTCGTCTATCTGTGACGAGTACACGTAATTACATAATGTCTGTCTATCTGTGACGAGTACACTTAATTTCATAATGTCTGTCTATCTGTGACGAGCACACTTAATTACATAATGTGTGTCTATCTGTGACGAGTACACTTAATTACATAATATGTGTCTATCTGTGACGA